CCTTCTACATGGAATAGTCTTTCCCCATCTTCACATGGCCGATCCTCCTCATTTCCAGGATTCAGCCCAACTATCCTCTCCTGCCAAAGAGCTTTAAAAAATAAATAAGTAAAACTGCATTTCCCAGAATCCCTTTCAACTAGACGCTGAAAATAAATAAATAAATATTATAAATTATATTTATATTTATTTATTTATTTATATATATATTAATTTATTTCAAAGAGGAAGGGAAAAGGAAAGAGAGATAGAAACATCAATGATGAGAGAGAATTGGGTGCCTCCTGCAACCCCACACTGGGGATCGAGCCAGCAACTCAGCAGGTACCCCGACTGGATATCGAACCGTGACCTCATGGTTCATAGGTTCATAGGCTCAACCACTGAGCCAAAGACCTGTTAAGGGCTACCCAATCTAACGAGCTCCCTACTCACATACCACTCTGTTACTTCTGTTTGTTTACCATCTGTCTCTCCCTGCCTGGCTTTACAGACGTTTTGTGATCCAGGCCTGGCTCCTCATGGACTCCACCACTCACCCCTGGCTGCTTCTGCAGACCCACGGGCACCTGCTCTCTCTGAGCCCCCGCCTTGTGTGTGCTGTCCTTTCTACCTGCTCTTCACCTCCTCTCCCACTTCCCCCCTCCCCTGGCTCTACCAGACTAAGAAATATTTCCTGATTCCCTAAGTCAAGTTAATTCTGCTTTCTCTAACCCAGCTCATCACAGTTCTTGGTGCCCTGTATTTCAGAGGAAGGGAGGGTAGAGACAGGGTCTGCCTTGTGCACTGTAGTCCCACAAACCTGGTGCATGGCAGGTGCATGGGCAACTGAAAGTCTGCCGCAGCGACTGCACTGGAAGAACTTAGCTCCTGCTGCTCGCGGGCTGTCACATGGAGAGTTTCCAGGGAGACAGCTCCCATCCTGAGTTTGCTGAACTAAATCGAGAGCTGGGGCCCGGGAGGGCTGGAAGTAAACAGACAACCGATGTTGCTGGCTGTGAATGAGCTCCTCGGGCTCTCGTTAGGCTAAGAGAAGGAATCAGAGTGTTCCAGGGAACACAGGGGCTGCTGGCCCAGGGGCAGGGAGCAGGGAGCTGGTGAGGAAGCAAGTCATTTTCCCTGCATCGCGTGGGACTGAGGGGAAGGCGAGACATGAGACCAAACCGCAAAGGGCTGTGTAAGCCTCGCTAACGTGGTGAGCTTGATCCTAAAGGTAATGGGAACTCATTGAAGCACCTGGAGGAGGGGGTGAAATGGTCAGATCTACATCTGAACAGAAAAATCACAGCAGCCACAGGAGGAATCTTGGAATGGAAAGCTCCATCATCAACCTAAGTCCTTGAGTTCTCTCTCGAGTCAGACCACACGGAACTTCCAGTCCTCACCCTTAGTGAATTCCTTAAATGGTACAGGATGCAAGGGCTTCGGCAGGAATCTCCCTCCTTGACCCCCATGGAGGGTTGAATGGTGGCCCCTCAAAAGATGTGTCCACATCAAAATCCCTGGAAAAGACTATTTTGGGAAAAAGGTCTTTGCAGGTGTAATTAAATTAAGGACCTTGAGATGAGATCATCCTGGATTGTGTAGATGAGCCTTAAATCTGATGATAATGGGCTGGATCAGGAAGAGGCAGAGAGAAGACAGAGACAGAAGAGGAGGAGGCCATGTAGCCATGGAGGCAGAACTTGGAGCGATGCTGCCACAAGCCTAGGAAACCAAGAAGTGTCACAGCCGCCAGATGCTGAAAGAGGCAAAGAACAATTCTCCCCTAGTGCCTCCGGAGCCTCCTGCTGGCAGCCCGATCTCAGACTTCTGACTTCCAGAACTGCGAGAGAATGCATTTCTGTTGCTTAAGCCACCCCATTTGTGGCGCTTCATTGGAGGAGCCCCGGAAAACGAATACAACCCTTCATTCAAACGAAGACCCTTCATGCTCAGGAACCTTCCTCATGGATGGACCTTTACACACCAGAGAGCTTCCTTTCCATTTGGAACGTGTGGTTGTAACAGAGGCAAGGAGCCAGACCAGACTTCCTTCTCTGCACTGCTTGGCATTCAAAGGACAGCTTCTCCCACACTGAGAAATGGTATCACCAGAGTGAAGCTATGGACAGGTCAGGAGGGCTGGGTCTTTGGCCAAGGTCCAAAGGCTCTAAGAGTGAGGCTGGGGTGCTGGGGGGCTCTGCAGAGACTAGTGGTTTGGAAAGAGAAGGGAGGACAGTGAGTTGCTCTACACTGGTGAGCAAGATATGGGAGGGAGGTTGTCCAAACAGGATTCCTAGCTTCCGGTGCCAAAGGAGCCTTGGTGCTCTGGCACATTCTGCCCAGCCTTTAGGGTAAGCTTACTGAGGTTGACCCTTGATAGGACTTCATGAGTTCCTTAGGGCACCCACCATGCGCTGGCTGTGCTTTGCACTACACCTGTTTAGGCACCTCCTGGGGTGCGTTTCTGTAGACCAGTCGGTTCCTCTGTTGGAGGTTTTTCCTTCGGAATGATACAATGTCTTTCTCCCTGACCAGCTGTACACACCCCAGCTGCGGTGTCCAATAAGAGGTTGAAGAACTAACCACGTCAATTCTCAGATCCATCTGAGTTTTCAGAAGGAGAACATTTTCATTTGGTACTTTCAACCCCTCTGAGAATCCCTACAGTTAAGGGGCCCAGGCTTAACCTCAAGTAATAGAAACAGAATCAAAGGGGAAAGGCCCAGGGCATAAACAAAACATCTGTAGGAGGGACAAGTCTCAACTCTAAGCCCAGGGTTTTAAGAGGCCAAAATTTCACAGGGGTGGATCCTCGTGGCAATTGGTTGAAGTCCTGGCTAAGATGGCCTCCCGCACCTCCTTCCTGAGGACCCCAACTCTTCCTTACGACCCTCTCTCAAACTATAATTTTTCTCTGCAAATAGCATTTGGTCTCTAACATTCATAATCTCATCAAAGCACAACAGAGTACCCTGACTCATCACAAGTCCTTCCAGTAGTGTCTACTGCTCACGTTGAAACAGTGATGCGGTAAGTAGGGGTTGCAGACCAGTTGCCACCAGACCTCCTCTGTGGGACAGGAAACCAACAGTGCCCACCTCTCATGGAAGACAATGTGCGGATGCCTTTGACCATTCATGGCAGCACCTGGCCACTGCAGTTCGCGGCATCGAGGTAGGAAGCACGGCTGTTGGTAAAATTCAGCCCGCTCCCTCTAACCTGCAGTACGATGGTTGGTCGCTTTTGCTGGGCCTGTTTCCCTGCCCACCAAGCAGCCGACCCTGGAGTGCACCAGGGGGCCGTCCAGCCAATACACCCTTCTGAGATAGGCACCCCCAGCAGGCAAGGCAAGGTTGTGGTCATTCATTCATTCACTGCTATTAATTAGGCATCAGGCTTTTGCAGGCTTTTGGGCAGATTTCATAAGATGCAGCCAAGGGCCTTGACCTTAGCTTTCTTAGAGAACTTCGCTCAATGTAGTGTTGTTAGAAGGAAAGAATCAAGAAAGAAAGGCACCAGCGGAGCAGAAGACAGGAGGTTCAGCTGGTGTGGCTGAACCAGATGGTGTGGCTCAGTGGTTGAGGGTCAATCCATGAACCGGAAGTTAATGGTTGATTCTGGGTCAGGGCACATGCCTGGGTTGAGGGCTTGATCCCCAGAGAGGGGGGTGCAGTTGGCAGCTGACTGATGATTCTCTCTTATCATTGGTGTTTCTATCTCTCTCTCCCTCTCCCTTCCTCTCTGAAATCAATTTTTTTGAAAAAAAAAATTTAAGAAGGGTTTTGAGTGCCCTCAGTCTTCTTGTTCTGAGCCCCACCTCATTACTCGTCTCTGGAGTTCCATGACGAAGACCGTTTCATTATGCTTACTTCTTTCTATAGAAACCTGCTCTAAGGAATAGCCTTATAGATTTATGTACACTAACATGTAAAGGACTTTATACTTGCTCATTTTTATAAGGGGGAAAGCTTTCAGTCAAAGAAATAAATAGCTTCAGCCCTAACCGGTTTGGCTCAGTGGGCAGAGCGCCGGCCTGCAGACTCAAGGGTCCCAGGTTCGATTCCGGTCAAGGGCATGTACTTTGGTTGTGGGCACATCCCCTGTGGGGAGTGTGCAGGAGGCAGCTGATTGGTGTTTCTCTCTCATCGATGTTTTTAACTCTCTATTCCTCTCCCTTCCTTTCTGTAAAAAATCAATAAAATATATTTTTTTTAAAAAAAAAAGAAAAAGAAATAACTTCAGGTGAGTGGGGGAGGCCGAGAGCTGTCTCAGTGATTCAAAAAGCACACTGCCTACTTCATCCAGACAACCAGCCAGGGTGCTACAGCCAGGCTGCGGCAGGGGTGAGGGCTGGAGTGGGAGGGGTCATGCCATGGGTGTTTAGTGGAACTGACTGAGCAAATTCTGAACCCTCCACCCTCTTCCTGGAAGTAGGAAAGTGGTCAGGAGAATCGTGGGAAGAAGGGACAAAGGCCACTAGTAGAGCAGAGGTACACAAAGGAGGGAGGGAGGGAAGACAGCACAGAGAGTGCAGAATTCTGTGTCTTCCAAATGTGACTGTCAGCACAGTGGAAAGTAGGGTGTCTGGTCTTCCGGCTCTTTGAGGCATCCTCAGCCTCCTCCCTTGTGCCTTGCCACCCTGCCAAGACACCCCAGGTCATGTTTGAGAGAAGCTCATCTCATGGGCAGAAACAGCCAACCTGTAGCCACTCTGGATACGCCTGGGACCCCCCCATCTGCCCTGTATCCTGGGACCAAAGAAAGGCCCGAACCAGATTATGCTCCTGGTGGACAGGCAGGGGTTGGGTGGAGAATTCAGGTTTCCAGAGAGAGTCAGAGCAAAGACAGTGAAAAGGACTGGCTGGTAGTGCCACCTGCCCTCCCCACAGGGCGGCCCCACCCAGCAGCCCTCTGGGCTCAGGGTCCGGTGAAGCCCAGGTATGAAGGGCCTGGCTCCCAGCAGCCCTGGGGAAGGGGCTCCAAAACAGAAGGAGACAGACATGGGTCGGAGCCAGTCCTGGGACACAAACACTAGTATATTTCATGTGCACGGATGTGAAGAGAAGACAGAGACGCTAACGGAGACAGAACAGGCAATGGGCGCACAAACCGGTCGTGTGTCCTGCCGAGGAGCTGCCGCAGTTGGGAGACAGTCCCCCTGGCTCAGAGCCAGGACCTGCCCCTCCTCCAGGTCTGGGTGGCCTCAGGGTGGCAGGTGAGCTTCCTGCCTTACCGCAGCCCCTGGGGGGGGGGGGGGTGTCTCTGCATCCCCTGAGAAGGCGTCTGCACAGCCCAGAGCTCCATAAACACAGGTTCTTGCAAACTGACCCCCTCAGCGGCTGCCTCTCCGGGAGACCCATGCAGAGGGCAAGGGACCGGGACAGAAGGACTCATGGCCACGCCCTCGGTATTATTGCTGAGAATAAGCACAGGCCATTGCGATGCCATTATGACTCACTGGCATCCGAGGGAAACAGGGCACCAGGGACAGGACAGCCAGCAGACACGGAAGCATCTAACCATGCAGGACAGACAGCACAAGGCGATCTGTAACTCGGAGGTGCGGGGGTGTCCAGCGGAGAGACCCAGGACACCAGTGGCTCGTAAACAGCAAGCCAACGCTCTCCGCCAGCACCCCCACTGCTTGGCAGGCATGGGGTTACCCTAAACCTTGAGGCCCTGGGCACTAAGAAATGGGGGCCCTGGAGATTAAAAAAAAAAAAAAAAAGAGGAGTGAGCTCTGAGCCTGCAGATTCTGTGGCCAAGCCCTGGCTCACTGCCTCCCTGTGCAGGGGGCTCCATGAAGCAGGCACACCACAGTCTGCACATTGTTACCCCAGGACCTCCTGCACAGAGGAGAGAGGGTGCCGAGGCATGTCCACAGGGCAACGTCTGGAAAGGCCAGATCCAGTGGGCCATCCAAGGGCTTGGCCAGGCTGAGAACTGTGGAACCTTAGGCTGGGAGACACCAACAAGCGGACCACCAGAGGCCATCGTGGAAAGGGAAAGCAAAGGGGTGGTGGTGGTAGGGTCTAGGGGCCCAACTGGAGCCTGCAAGGGTGTGGGGGTCCAAGAGACTGAGCATGGAGCCGGAGGAGAGGACCAAGGAAGCCATTCCCTAGAGGGAACAGGGAAGCCAGCCAATCTTCTTCCTCTGGAATCCCCACAGCTGTACATGGAGCACCATCTACCCCCATGGCAGCCAGAAGCCCCTGGGAGCCCCAAAGCCCTAGAATTGGGGCCACAGGTAAACCAAAGCCAGGCCCCTGCAGAATGCAGCTCATGCCTGGATAGAACAAGCCTGCCCAGGACACAGAGACTGGAAAAGGCCCTTCGTCCCGTCCCGGACAAGGTCCACTGCAGAGAGCGACCCTCCCAGAGTCTCCCCGCCCCTCCCCCAATCCGGGACACCACTCCTGCCCACACCCGCCTGCCCGCCGGCCCTGGCCCGGTGCTGCCCGCACCGTCAGCAACACAGCAAGGAAGAGGAGATGCTCTCCGCAGGTGGCATGATCAGTTTTTAATGTTCTACAAAAAGGGAAGGGCTAATTTCTACCTAAGAGTTCTCGTGTGGTCAAGTAGAGACCACGTACCACGGGAAAGGCTGTGTTCTGATGGACCCTCCCCTTGGCAAGTGGGGGAGGAGCCGGAAGTGGGCTGGAGGGAGGTTTTCACCCGTCCACTGCCAACAATGGACCTGCCATGGGCACCCAAGATGACAGCGCCTGTGAGCGTGGCAGGGTTAATACTGTTCTGAGGAGCAAGCTCCAAGTGTCAGTCTTGCAGGGGAGGGTGAGGAGGGGTGGCCCTGAGGAGGTTTTGCTGCAGGGCTGGGGCTATGGCAGATCCAGAACTGATCCCTTCCCACTAAGGACAGTCTCCCTCACTCATTCTCCATGGTCTGCAACGCTGGATCCCCTAGGATGCTGGACTGCCCCGAAAATAAACCATCAGGCGTGACTTTACCGGCCTCCCCACAGCACCCCCACACACATACACTGATTTGTCTCTGGGTCCCCACTGAGGATCTGCGGGGCCCATCTTGGCCTGGCGGTGTTGTGGGTGCCATTCACGGTTCGCTGGGCCACTGCGGGGAGGGGGCATGGATGGAGAAGAGCACCAGGGCACTGCCACCGCCCACCGGGTTGGGTAACAGTGGAGGGACGGCTGCAGAGGGCGGGTGGGGTGTCTCAGGTTCTATCTCTGGCAGCTGCTGTGTTGGCCGGGGAGTGGGAGTTGGGGCTTGGTGGGTAACTGACATGGATAAAGGGCTGATAGTGGAAAAGGCCTTAAAAAATAAGCGAGAAAGGGGGGGGGGGGGGAGAGATACAGAAACGCCACCAAAAGCACAGGGACTAAAACCTCCAAAAGCCTAAGGTTGGTGGGAATCCAGCACCAGGGGGCCCCCAGGAGGCCGAGAGAGCAGCGTGGGGCCCTGGGGGGAGGGAGAGGAGCCAAGGGGAGGCCTCCCAGCCCTGCAGCCTAGCACGGCTCCAAAGCAGCGTCCGGCCACCCAGTCTCTCCCTAGGCTGCCACTCAGCAGGCCCCCGGGGAGGTATTGGTTGCAAGCAAGCACCTGAATATTGCCTAACGGAACCAGCCAAAGCCCAACTAAACCGGGTGAGAAGGAACCAGGTGGCCGAGGCAGCAGCCCTACGCCTCCTCAGCCCTGCCCCTCGCCTTTTGCCCGTTTCTCAGAGTCCCTTAGCCAGGGCAGGGCAGGGCCTGCTGCTTCCAAAGTCACCTATGTAGTCTAGTCCCTGGGAAGCCTCAGGCCTCCTGCCCACAGCCTCTGAGCTGGGGTGCGATCCACAGACCAACCCCCAAGTCCCTCTGCTGCCTTGACAGCCGGCCCCCAACACCAGCCCACAGTGGAGGGATGGGGCTGGGTGCACCCCGCAGGGCTGAGACCAGGGTGAGGCAGGGTTTGTGCTGTGTACAGAGGGGGCAACTCCACCAGCTCCGCACTTCTCTCCACAGGGTCCGTGAGCGACCCCGGCCCCTCCCCCGCGGGCCCCCCACTCAGTCGGTTTTGACGTGGCCGTTGGCCAGGGCCAGGGGGGCTGCGGGCTCCCCCGGCTCCCCGGGCTCGGCGTCCTTGTCGAAGCGCAGGCGGAGCGTGTTGCGGATGATGAACTGCTCCATGATGAGGGCCCCGCAGAACCAGGGCACGGCGTACTCCAGGGTGATGAGGCCCATGAAGTCGAAGTCGAACTGCGAGTAGTCCCAGGGGCAGGCGTTGAACTGGCGCAGGATGAGGCCGGTGGTGAACTCCCAGGCGTAGGTCCAGAGCGTGTAGATGAGGCAGCGCAGCAGCAGCGGGCAGCGCGCCCGCAGGCGCAGGTACATGCGCTCCACGATCAGGATGGAGGTGCCGTAGATGAAGAGCGCCCACACGCTCGTGACGCCCGGGAACTTCCAGTTAAAGTTCACCACGAACTCCCAGGCCGCCGTGAACATCACCTCGCAGAAGTAGCCGTGGATGGCGTACAGGTACCAGCGGGACAGCGCCGTCAGCGGCTCCACCGAAGCCATGGCGCCCACGGGAGCCAGCTGCTGGGACACGGAGGAGACAGGTGAGATGGGGAGGGAGGGAGGGAGGAGGGACGGAGGCAGGGAGGGCTGCGCCTCTCCTGCCTCCCATCCCACCATCCAGTCCAGGTCTCTGATGATGTGTAACAAGGCCCAGTGGATTTCAAGCCCGCCTCTGCCTTTCTCTTTGGTTACCAACCAGAAGCTCCGCCTTATCCCACAGTCATTGCTTTATCCCATAGGCCTTACCTGAGCCGTGGGCATGAGAAATGAAGAAAGCAAACCAGTCCTAACCTGTTTGGCTCGGTGGATAGAGCGTCGGCCTGCAGACTGGAAGGTCCCAGGTTCAATTCCAGTCAAGGGTGTGTACCTTGGTTGTGGGCACATCCCCAGTAGGGGGTGTGCAGGAGGCAGCTGATTGATGTTTCTCTCTCATCGATGTTTCTGACTCTCTATCCCTCTCCCTTCCTCTCTGTAAAAAAATCAATAAAATATATTTAAAAAAAGAAAAGAGAGCAAACCACCCCACTGGCTTCCTCCGAGTGACTCTACTCAAATGCTTCTTGGAGGACGGTGTGTGCTCGCCTTCCTAGGCTAGCTGTTTTGGATGTGGTCTGTGAGGGGGTCAGCTGGCCTGGCCGGTCAATCACACCCATTTCCAGGCTACGTGCTGGTTTCTCACCAGGCTCCCCTGGGGTCCCCATCTCTTCCCTCACTTTTTCTCCTGTTTCTGAGATCTTTCTAAGCAAGCCGTTGCATTTGTCTTCCATGCACGTGTTCAGGTGTACATAACAACATTTACCATTTTAGTAATTTTTAAGTGTACAATTAAGAGGTATTAAGGACATTCACACTGTTGTGCAACCACCACTGCCATGTCTCCAGAACCTTCTCATCGTCCCAAACTGAAACTCCATATTCATTAAACATGAATTTTCCTCCCCTCCCCAGCCCACGGTCACCACCAGTCTACCTTCTGTCTCTATAAATTAGGACCACGCTAGGCACCTCATTTAAATGGAATCATGCAATATCTGTCCTTTTGTGTCTGGCTTATTTCACTTAGCGGAGTGTCTTCAGGGTTTATCCATATGATAGCCTGTGTCAGAATTTCTTTCCCTCTTTAAGGCTGCATTGGGATCCACCTATCTGGACATATCACATTTTGTTTACTCATTTACCCATGAATGGGTTGCTCCTACCTTTTGGCTATTGTGAATAACTCTTTTGGGGATATCCTCAGAAGTAGAAGTAATTCCATTTTTTAATTTTAATTTTGTTTTCCTGAAGAATGGCCTTGCTGTTTTCCATAGCGGCTGTCCCGTTTTTACATTCTCACCAGCCACGCACAAATGTTCCAATTTCTCCATATCCTTGCCAGCACTTGTTATTTTCTGGTTTTCTGAGGATGGTCATCCTAATGGGTAGAAAGTGGTAGCTCCTTGTGATCACATTTGTCCTTAACTGCTCCCTTAAGCAGGCGTCTGGTGTTTGGTTTCAGTGATGAAAGGAAGCCAGTGAGCTGACAGAGGACAGAATCTTCCTTCCACTCCTCTTCCCCTCCCCCTCCTTTCTCTTAAGGCCCAGTCCTCAAGGCCCAGCCCTCAGGCCTCTGTGCTTTCTCCTCACCCTTCCCAGCAGCTGTCTAGACCACTCATTGGCCCTTTACCAAATGCCACCCTATTTACTATTTTAGGCACAAGCCCTTTTGGTCCAAGGAGGCTGTGTACTCCTTGAGGGCAGCAAATGTTTCCGGTCTTCTCTTCTGCAGCCATGGATGGCACAGGCCTCTCCCAAACAGGCATTCTCTAGATGACACGTGTTGTTTACAGGGATGGTGGTGGGATGGGAGAGCCCAGGGCTTCATGGAGAACAGGAAGACCAAGCCTGAGAGCATGAATCCCAGCAGGGCCAGCTGCCAGTGGACACCAGGCTTGGCATCGCTGCCAACCCCCTCTCCAAGGTGGGAGAGGGGTCAGAGGTTAACAAGGTGACATCTGCAGTCTGCCCACCTGTCTAGGAACTCCAGTCTCATCTTTCAGCAGCCTGGTCTCAAAACACACACCCCTGTGCATCGCTTTATGAAAGGTCTTCCAAGCACTTTCATTCACATTTTGTCATTGGTTTTTACGCAATTAAGATTAACGTGGCCCTACCTGGTTTGGCTCAGTGGACAGAGCCAATGCCTCATGGGTCTCAGGTTGGATTCTGGTCAAAGGTACACACCTTGGTTGCAGGCTTGATCCTTAGCCCTGGTTGGGCCACATGCAGGAGGCAACCAATAGATGTTTCTCTGTCTCTCCCTGTCCCTTCCACTCTCTCTAAAAGTCAGTGGGGATAAATATCCTCTGGTGAGGATTAACAACAACAAAAGAAGATTCCTGTGAAGGGCAGGTAGTTTTACTCCCACTTTTTTTTTTTAATCCTCACTGGAGGAAGATATGCTTTTCATTTCCAATTCACTCATAAAAGATGAAAGAGTGTGTACAAATAGCAATCTTTCCAAAATGCAAATCCAATGTTTATCCCCATTTAACCATTACTGGGTCTTGAACATAAGGCCCAAACCCCTGGGGATGGCTGGCAAAGTGACCCCCGCTTTGCCTCGGATTCTGTCTTAGGTCTTTACATGGCTGCTTTTGCTAGCTGGGGAGCCCCTCACCCCCATCCCCACCACAGCCTGTGAATTCAGTCCCTCAAGACCCAGCTCCTCCGGGAAGACTTCCCTAAGCCCCTCGACCACCAGAGCTGCCCACTGCCCTGCCGTCACCTCGGCAACAGCTGGCATCCGTGACGGCACGTCACGCTCAGCTTTGCCAGAACTCGCCCGGAGCCGGCACAAGTAGCCGCTTGATGAACATTGACTAAAATGATGAGAAAAGGCTGGATTCAAAAGTGAATAGTTAATATAATTTTGATTTGGCAAAGACACACACACACACACACACACACACACACACACGTGTAAATATACAAAGAATTTCGCCACAATCAACTCTAGATGGTGAGTGATATGAGCGGCCCTTGCTTCCTTCTTTGTAGTTTTCTGTAGAGACGAAAAAATATTTCCAACAAAAAATGCGTAATTTTTATAAAAATACATTTTCTCTTAAAAAAAAAAATCGTCCCATGAATATGTATTACTCATCCTTGTGCCTTGTAAGGAGAAAATTGCTCAATACACCTGCCAGGCAGATGAGCCTCGGAACCCTGAACGCGTGTGAAACGAACACGGGCTCTTCCCTCCTGAGCCGCCCTGAGCCGTGCCCAGGTTTGGATCAGGGGTGGGGGTTCAGCGCAGGAGTTCTATATCCCACCAGCCTGGGTGTGCCTCCTGGCGGACACCCTCCACCTCCAGGGCCCGTGCCTCAGTTTCCCTGCAGGGGAAGAGAAGATACCAAGAGGGGCTACCCCTGAGGTTCCTGTGTGGATGCATGAGCGAGCGCACTGCTAAGAATACAGCCAACATTCGGGAAAGGGTGGCGGTCGTTTCCGGCACAGAGCCAGGCTGGCTGGTCAGCTTCTCCCACTGCGAGTGCCCCTCCCCCTGAGCCAGGGCCCTCCGCCCCTGAGCCAGGGCCCTCCACCCCTGAGCCAGGGCCCTCCGCCCCTGCCCTCACTAGCAGCTGGGCAGCCTTCTCTGCCAAGCAGGCCAGGCCTTTCTCTCCACCCCGAGCACCAACCTGGCAGCCAGATAACCCCGTGCAAACAGTCACCGCACAGACAGCCGCAGGGAGAGCGCCTCCTCAGGTGAGGAGGGTCACGATCTCCACCTGGCTGAGGGGGGAGGCCCGGCTGGAGGGAAGGGGCACAGCTCCTCACACCCTCCTCTTATCCTGAGCTCCCAGCAGACCCCCGTCTCCGGCCCCACGCGTGCCCCTGAACTCTGGTCTGTCCACCGACCTGAGCCCCAGGCTCCTCCATTCCACAGGATCCGGGAAGCGGCTTCCTACTCAGCCGAGCACACAACTACGTTCCTCACTCACGTCGGCTCCCACCTTGATGCTGATTTTTAAATCCTGCTCGCTTGGCCTCTTGGTCTCACCTATTGGGACGGCCAATCGTGGGCTCCCGGGAGGTAACAAATCAGAGGAGCAGGCCACCTGGAAGAGCTGGACTCCCAAGCCTTATGAGCAGAAGCAAGATTAGAGAGAGAGAGAGAGCCGAAGCCGGTTTGGCTCAGTGGATAGAGCGTCGGCCTGCAGACTGAAAGGTCTTAAGTTCGATTCCAGTCAAGGACATGTACCTTGGTTGCGGGCACATCCCCAGTAGGGGGTGTGCAGGAGGCAGCTGATCGATGTTTCTCTCTCATCGATGTTTCTAACTCTCTATCCCTCTCCCTTCCTCTGTAAAAAAAAAAAAAATCAATAAAATATATAATTAAAAAAAAGAGAGAGAGAGAGAGCTGTCACAGGGAGAGAGAGGGCAAGCTGCTGAACAGAAGAGAGGATGAGGGAGAGAACGGGTGCCAGAGGCCTGGGTTGTGTTTCCGGGATCTTCTGTGCCTGAAAGAGCAGGGTAGGTGGAGAGGAAGCATGGCTAAGCAAGGCCAGACCGCATTCTAGGTGTCCTGCCAGAGAACTCGCCTGGCTCCTGCAAGACAAATGGGAGAACCCGGAAGTCCTGCTGGGGCCAGGAGATGGGGGTGAAGACAGTGTAGTCAGTTGGGATGGGACAGGCGTGTGGTGGGACAGACACCAAGGTTAGAGGCAGGCAGTGGCTCAGGTGGGTTTTCAGAGCCCCACTCCCCAAACCCATGTCTGATCACCACAGGTGCCGAGCTTAGACTGAGATCACCCACCCTCTGCTGGGCGCAACAGACACCTCTCCCTGCCTGGCCTCCCCACCCCCTCCGGCCGCTTCCCCTACCTCCTTGCTCGTCCTGGGAAGAAATGGATCGGAAGAGCCCGCCACTGAGCACACTGGATGTTGGCCGCTTTCTTTCGGTGACAAACACACCATCCTGAGAACCAGGGCACAAAATGGAACAGCCCGAACAAGAACGTGCAGGGTGGAATAAAGAGGAGAAAGTGGGCAAGACTGAAGGCAGGAGAAAAATCTGGATGGTCTCCCAAGAGGGATTTGGAGGAACAGCCCTCAAGTTTAAGTTCAAGTGATGATGAAACTCCTCAGACCTGTTGGTCCATGAGCCCAGGAACACAGAGTTCCAGCAAAGGGCCGGGACTCAAGGACTTTCCCGGCAGCCCTCTGCTCCGCTAAGGACGGGCGATGGGAGGGGAGAGGGCTGCCTGCAGAGCCTGCTCCCTAGGAGTGTCTGCCCTGCTGCGCACCAGGCCTGCTGAGCTGTTCCTCAGGGCGCCGGAGAGCAGAGCGAGCCGCTGAGAGGCGCGAAGAGAATGCATAAGAGCCCAGGGCAGGCTAGGAGCAGAACCAGCTGAGATGACTGTCCTTGGTTTTGATAAAAACTCCCATCTTGTTCCAGGAAGCTGAGGTGCCACACACAAGGGCTCCGGGAGTTTTTGTCCAGAGGAGCCCCGTGCTAGAACATCGTGCTTCCCCTCCATGTAGCCAGGCCACGTAAGCCTTCCTCTTTCACCCCGTTTACTTCCCAAATCTCACTCCCCATCCCCAGGTACACAAATCACTACAGTTTTATGCTCTGGGGTGGGGTGGGGGGGCACAGTCCTGAGAGCAAGGCAGTGGGGGTGGGGCTTGAGTGACCGTGAGCCCAGGCCCCTGACAGACCCTGTACTGCAGGCGAGTGGAACCCATGAGCTGCTCCTGCATCTGGGCATCTGGGTGCAAGATGCAAGGTCTGAAACCATCTTGAGCTTCCCCTGTGGTTATCAGGTTGTGGGGGAGGGGACAACATGACCTTGCTTCTGAACCCGAGGGAAGCAAGTGGGGGGAAACACCTGCTCAGCCCAGATGCCAGAGTTCCACCCTCTCTTGCTGTGGGCATCCCCTAGGAAAGTCCCCTAGGATGGTCCTCCCTCCACCTCTCAGTCACAATCTTCTATGCATATAAAAGGCTAATAGGCAAAGGGTCCCCATGGGAGTTCGACTGGGAGTTCTATCGCTTGCTATGATGTGAGCACCAGGGGCCGGCGTGGAGTGAAGGAAGGCCCCAGCTGGCAGCCAGCAGCGGCAGCCGGAGAAGGGAGGCCCCGGCCAGCAGCCAGAAGGCCCCAATCGGCCCTGATCGCCAGCCAGGCCTAGGGACCCTTCCCGTGCACGAATTTCATGCGCCCGGCCTCTAGTAACATTAAAAATTGGACATTCTTCTCAGCACTTTTCATGTATTAACTCAGGTACTCTTCAAGCCCATTTTACAGATGGGGAAATTGAGGCAGAGAAAGACTCAATAATTAACCTAAGTTCTTACAGCCATACAAGCAAGGCAAAGGTGGGGTTCGAGTCCAGCTCCAGAGCCTTTCAGTCCCCCCAGGATACTGCACTGCTCGAAGCTGACTACAGGTTCCTCTGAGGGCACTGCCATTTTCCGAGTTTCTGCTTCCGGAAGGCTGGACGGTATACGGAGAGACACCAGGAAACAAGAAGGATATGAGATTTAAGGTAGATCATCAGTGAAGCTCAGACCGGGAGTCAGAGCTACCAAAGGCTCTCAGACTGTGTGGGAGACCATGTTCTGCTCTGAGGCCACGGTCTGGCAGGATCTGCACAAAGGGTCCCCCAGGGTCACACGCTGACCCTCTCAGGACCAGGGCAGCCACCTCTCGGGGCCTCAAGGCATGTGCCATTCAAGATGCCCTACCAGGACACCTATTACCTGCAGCCTCCCTGACTGCCAGCGGCCCCAATGCTGCTGGGAATCTCAGATGGCCCAGCCCTGCCCGCCAGGAGCAGCGGCCAACGCGCAGGCCAGCCAGAGAAGCCCTGTGCCTGGACCAACAGCAGCCAGAGTGTCAGGGGCAACCACACCATACAGGCCAGCAAGCAAGGAAGGGTCTCAGATGCTAAGCAAGTCCCAGCGGGCAGGCGCAGGGGGGAGTGGGCCTGAGGGACAGCCAGCCCCCACACAGCGGTTCTACAGGGCTCAAGCAACAAAGGGCGCTAGCGATGGGCCCGGGGGCTGGGCATCCTGTGCGGTGCCACCAGGCTCTCCCAGACCTCATGTGGCTGCCTCCCTGCTGTCACTTAGGTCTCAGTTCACCGTCACCCCTCAGACCTCTGATCTCCGATCCAAAATGGCCTTTCTATCGCTCACATCACCCCATCTTGTTTTCTTCACAGCACTCTCACATTCTGATATTTTGCCACTTGTTCATTGTCTTATTTTCCCCACACCTCGTTAGAGAAAAAGCTCCATCAGGATAGGGGGGCTCTGTCCGGTGCATAGGACAGGGCCTGGCAATAAGACCCACTACTGCCTATGGAATGAATGAATGGATGAATGAATGGGCCCAAGCAGGCACAGCCCCTTAAACACTGATGAGAGCAGATATAAACAGCTAGCCAGCTTAACCTTTCTTTAAAAAAAAAATTATATATATATATATATATATAAAAATTATATATATATATATATATATATATATTATCGATTTTTACAGAGACGAAGGGAAAGGAATAGAGAGTTAGAAACATCAATGAGAGAAACATCGATCAGCCGCCTCCTGCTCACCTCCTACTGGGGATGGGCCCACAATCAAGGTACATGCCCTTGACGGGAACCGAACCTGGGACCCTTCAGTCCGCAGGCCGATGCTATATCCACTGAGCCAAACCAGTTACGGCCCAGCTCTTTCTGAAGGGAAAAGAGTAACTGCTTTCTCCTCTTTCTCCTCTAGTCTCTAATGCTATCATTTTAAAATATCTTTTTTATTTTTTCTGATTACCAATGTAACATGCTCACGGCTAAAATGTAAACACTACAGAAAGGAATGACTTAGAAGACGAAGTCCCCCATCCCCCCACACCGTAAAGAAAGTCCCCCCTAATGGTGTGCTGTGTATTCAGCCAGATTAAATTTTGTTTTGGGAGAAAATCCAGGCATCTTAGAAAAGAAAAGGCATGCATAATTCCACCAAACCGGCAGCCATTGTCATTTCCTCTTTGCAATCTTTTCTCACAAGTTTATTTTACAAGTTACCCTAATGGACTTGTTCTGTAACCTGACATTAGCACTTATTATACCATCACTGTTTTTTTTTTCACATCGGTGTATCGCCTATGTGCTCGTTATGATAATGGCTGTGTAATATTCCACGAGTAGAAAACTTGCTTAACACAGATGCTCAACAAAGGGAGGGCACCTGTTTCCCATCGCCACTGTCACACCGGCCCCACCAGAAACATCTTGTTGTATGCCGGTAACAAAACAGTTCAGCCCTTTTCTTCTCTGGGACTCTCCCTTAATGAGTGATTCCGGAAGTGGGCTCACAGGACAGAGGGCACCACCGTGTGAAGGCTGGTGATGCCGACGGCTCTGGGGACATCTGTGCTCTGTGGGTAAGAGGTCTCCGGACTGAGTCACCGCATTCCCACAGTGGCCTCCATGGGCCTCTCCCCCCCCCCACGCCACCCCCACGGTCCAGGCAACTCACCGCCCGCCGGCCACAGAGCAACCCAAGAGCACGCTTCCTGAAAGACCCTCCCAGCACAGGCTGATTCCGCAAGCCCAGACTCGGTCAGCACAGATGCTAGCCCTGACTTTTATCCTCTCAGCTGCCAGTAGAGTCGAGCTCCACCTAAAGCTGAGAAACACCTGGTTACTCTTTTCCCTGCAAGCTCCTCCGTGGAACCTAAGGCTCCAGCTCCTGAACGCTTGTCCCGTCAGGAGTGCAAAAGCACCCCCTCTCCCTGCCCTGCCTTCTTTAAAAAAAAAATATATATATATATATAGATAGATAGATAGATAGATAGATATAGATATAGATATATAGATATATATCTTATTGATTTTTACAGAGACGAAGGGAGAGGAATAGAGAGTTAGGGGCCCCACAGACAGAACAGCCTTCAGGCCTCTGGGCTTGGAAGTGCTGACCATTGCCATGTTTAAAAGCATCGTCCAGGAAAAGCCAGAGGCCAAGGCCGGGAAGAAAGGCCACGTGAGGACAGGCGGCGCTCCACCGTGGGGGGCCTTTCGCCCGCCCTACACGGAGCTTATCCGGACTGAAGAGAGACGCCGGGAACGGGACAAAAGCGGCAGGCGCCCCGATGGCCAGTTTTACGGCAGCTCAGGTGCCACAAGTCCCTCGCCTCCCGGTGCCCTGGATGCTCTACCCGAGTCACAGAAACTGGCCGTGGACTCTGGGCAGAGGCCAAGTCTCAGCGGAGGCACGGTTCCTATGGACAGAAAGGGAGGCCAAGGCTCAAAGCATCCGTGAGCCTGCAGACAAGGATCGTCTCCTGGGGGCTGGGTGTCTCAGGCCACTCACGTTGCCTCTGAGTCTGGCCTTGTTTTTAGAGGCCATGACTCCAGCAAGGGACATGGCCTGACACTGCTGGACCCTGCCCGCCCCTTCCCGCCCTGTTCTCCTCTGGGACTACTTCTTAATGCACAATCCCAGAAGGGGCCCCCGGACAGGGGTTACGGGGCCCTGGCAGGCCCTGGGACAGAAAGCGGGCTCAGGCCAGGACATCCAGGCCTGGTTTCATGCTGCCCCGGCCGCGAGGGCTGGCCCTCCCCGGGGATCCTGTGACAGACTCACTTATCACACCCTTCAGTGCGCAGCTCAGCACAGACATCAGGATTGCTGTCCAGGCGTGTCCTGGGTTCACCTTTGTCCTGGTGCCTGGCTGGGCGACGGTGCCATCCTCAGCAGCGTGGGCAAGCACCAGTCCCAGGGCTTAGCCGATCCTCGGCCAGTGGGCAGGTGGCTTCCATGTGTCCCTGGGATAAAAGAGAAGGAGTTCGTTAGCTTCAACTGCCCCCAGCTCAGAGCCACCGGGGCCAGCCAGAGAGGCAGCCTCAAGGCAAACACCACAAGGCCCAACTCCAAGCTCAGCACTGGATGCTCGTCCTGCCCACACCCTGACCCCTCTCCTGGAACCGGCCACCTCCTCCTCCAGGCCCTGTCTGCTCGGGTCTGGTTAATGCAGCAACGAGAGCCCTGGATCCTTCTCAAGTCACATCCCCAGGGGCACCGGGACTTAGGACTCCTTTTACCATGAGCAAGAATGTGCTCACTCGTAAATCAGAGAGCGGATATAATGTTATAATCCAGCTCCATTCTTACTGAGCTTCTGCCGAAACTCACCTCCACCCTGTAGTGGGCACATCTGTTCCCAAGGTGGTCAAGAGCCCCATGAGGGGGGGGCGGGGGGCAATGTCACATGCTGAGTTTAGCATTTAGGGGGTTAGAACAACAAGCACACCATCAAAATAGGTGCTAGCCCCTCTACCCATCACCCCACCACCCTGACACTTACTTCATCCCATTGTTTTGTCATTATTGTTGGGGAGGCCTTCCTATTACCTTCTGTAACTGACTACAGCCGCTATACATCTAACTCAACAACGTCCCTGGCCACGTATTTCCAATACATCCCCAGGACATGACCGTTTGCCAGAGACTTCCCAGGTGTTTTGTTTTAATAGGAAGCTGCGGAAGCTTCCCTGAAAACCCCTGAAGGCAGCCCCATCGGCGCAAGTCCAAGGCCAGGAGCAGCACGGCCTACGGGAGGATGCCCCGGCCACGCGGAAGCGGAGAAGCAGAGATGCCTGGGGAGGGGAGGGAGAGAGTGGAGGGCAGCTAGCACCATCCCGCCTGGACGGCCAAACAGGGTGGGCCACGGAGGGGCTACCCGCTGCTGACACCTCCGCTCACCTTCCCCCTGCCCCACCCGGCCCTGTGAGCAGAGGGGCCTCAGGCCTTTGCTCCCTGAGCTGACAATGTGCAAGGCAGCGGGACCTGAAAGTCACAGTGTGCACCTGGGCTGGTGGGCGGAGATGTGTACTCCCCCAGGGCCTCTCCCCTGCACCGAGAAATAAAGGGCAGAGGCTGTGCTGGGCACTGGGCACTGGGCACTGGGCACTGTGCTCTGCATCTGTCCCTCCAGCTCCTCCACACACAGGAGTCTCCAGCCCTGACCCCCCCACCAGCCTCCCCCTCTTCCCGCCCCACCCCCGTCGCCCTGCCTGCCTGATGGGGGGCAAGAGGTCACGAAAGCACATACCTATCCCCTCGAGGAAGGGCTTGAATGGGGCATGTTCGACGCCCCAGCACCACCATGACCCTGTGCCCGGGGAGTTCAATGCCACCCCGGGGTTCGGGCACTTCCCCTTCCCGGGGCCCTCCGCAGGCCCCATCCACCGCACAAGACAAAACCAAGACAGAAACAGAAAGCAAAGCCCACATCCTGGCAGCAGAGCCTGCTGGTCGCTGCCGTCAGCCCCGGAGCCCAGCCCACGGCGGGCCGAGGTACCACTGGCAGACGAAGCCGCGGCTGTCAGAGCAGCTCCCTCCTGCTGGGCACCTCCTGCTCCCTAGCCCTCCCCAGGGAGCTGGTGAGGCTGGATGAGGAGGTGATGGTATAGTGGAGGGGGGGGGAGTCCCTCCAACACTTCCTGCCCTCTTAGAGTAGGTCCCAGGGTGCACAGGGCATCAGGCTCCTCTGTGGACTGCGTGGCCTGAACAGTGTTGAGAGTACATGCATGTGTGAGGAGCCCTGAAAACGACTAATGTGTGCGTGGAACTCAGCCTTTCTGGAGCATATCGTCTCTCATGACTTTGCTGAGACCCCTGCAGGGAGGGCAGGGATGATCACCACTCACTCCCATTTTAGAGATGAAAACACTGAGTCTCCGGATATGAAGACATTGGGCCACATCCACACATTTGATTCAAACCCTGGTCCTAGGCTCTAGAGCCAGCCCTCTCCCCCACACAGCATGCCTTCCGAATGCTCTCGATCCAACCTCACTCTTCAGGCACACGTCTGCACGTCATTAAGTGTCACCTCCTTAGTCCGTTCTGGAAGCTTCGTGTTTGTAAACATGCAGCCGAGTCTGCTTATGCGGTTTTCCCCTCCACAGGCCAGGCGCTGCTGGGAGCCTGAGGAGCAGAGACCCTGACATGGTCTCAAGCCTCTCTACCTGCCCTCCTCCGCCGCCCGCCGCACCCACCCCTCCTCCAAGGCCCTGCTCCCACCTCATCCCTTCGAGGATGCTGCCATCTTCCCATAGTCCCCGTCACCAATGTCCCCACGGGCCCTGGAACATCCTTCTATTGAAACGTCATTGTCCAGCCGAAACCGGTTTGGCCCAGTGGATAGAGTGTACGTCTGCGGACTGAAGGGTCCCAGGTTCGATTCTGGTCAAGGGCATGTACGTTGGTTGCGGGCACATCCCGGGGAGCTGGGGGGGGGGGGGGGGGGGGGGGGGTGTGCAGGAGGTGGCTGGTCAATGTTTCTAACTCTCTATCCCTCTCTCTTCCTCTCTGTAAAAATAAATAAATAAATAAAATATATTTTAAAAATAAAAAATAAAATAAAAAGCCACACTTATAAAAAAAAAAAAAAGAAAGAAAGAAAAGAAAGAAAGAAACATCATTGTCCTTGGAAAGAAAGAAAGAAAGGAAGGGAGGGAAGGAGGGAGGGAGGGAGGGAAGGAGGGAGGGAGGGAGGGAGAGAGAGAGAGAGAGAAAGAAAGAAAGAAAGAAAGAAAGAGGAAGGAAGGAAGGAAGAAAGGTACGTCATTGTCCAAACGGTGGAATCTCAGAGGGCAGGTGGGGATGAGTGGGAAGAAATCAACCTAAGGATATGTATGCCTATATGCAAAGCCCATGGACACAGACCTTAGACCTCAGGCCTGGGGCGGCAGATGTGGGCAGACCAGAAGGGGTCAATGAAGGAAAAGGGGGGGGGGGGGCATATGTAATAGTTCAACAATAAATACTTAAATTAAAAAATAAGTTTTCAAAAAGAAACGCTGTTCCCTCTTTAAAATCATCATGTGTCTGTTTCCCCCTCCGCATAATGAATTCCAAGACCATGAGCTTTCTGTTCGATGGCCAGACAAACCAGGAAGAGAAGGGCCCAGCTAGATTCTTGGGGGACTGCACCGTCCGGTGTTATCAACCCAACACACTGGTGGCTGGGGATCGTCCCTCACTTTCAGGCTCTCATCGTGGAAGGGCTTTCTCTGGAGATGAGGAATGAAAGGATGCTCATGCTCCTTTCTCCCACCTCCAGAGCCATCGCCTGGACCGAGCGGCGTGGACAGACGAGGTGGGGGCCTTGGGACTAGACCAAAGGTCGGCAAACTCATTTGTCAACAGGGCCAACTATCAACAGTACAACGGTTGAAATTTCTTTTGAGAGCCAAGTTTTTTGAACTTAAACTTCTTCTAATGCCACTTCTTCAAAATAGACTCGCCCAGGCCGTGGTATTTTGTGGAAGAGCCACACTCAAGGCGCCAAAGAGCCGCGTGTGGTTTGGGAGTCCCAGTTTGCCGAACACGGCTCTGGACAGTCCAGAAGACGTGTCACCTGAAGAGAGAGTCTGGGGCAGGACTGAGGCGTCCCAGGCATCCCCCGGGACGCCACTGGCTCCAAGCTCAGGGTCAGGCAGGAGAATGACAATGCCCACTCTGTTATTTCTACAACGTGCTGGCCCTCTCCAAGGGCACATGCAGTTTTCATGCAAGTGGAATTCATTTCCCAAAGAGGTTTACCCCCCGGCTGCTGGCAGGAAATTCCCTCTGCATCACTCTCGCTCCTCCCCTGTGATTATGTAGGGTAAGCTGGGTTTGCAGGGTTGAATCTCTGCTTCTCTGACCGGAACCTAAAAACCAAATCTAGCCCTGGCGGGTTTGGCTCATTGGTTAGCGTGTCGGCCCTCTGACAGAAGGATCGAGGGTTCGATTTCTGGTCAAGGGCATGTACCTCGGTTGCAGGCTTGACCCCCAGGGCCCGGTTGGGGCAAATGCAGGAGGCAACCCATGGATGTGACTCTCTCACACCCTCTCGTCCACTCTCTCTAAAAAATCAATGGAAAAATATCCTCGGGTGAGGATTAGACAAACATAAGCAAACAAGCAAACAAAAGACCAACAACAAATCTTCCCCAACTCACCGCCCACACCTACATGGCCCAGAACCCGAGACTGGAGCCAGGAAGCAGCAGGCAAACACTATCCCTCTCTCTCTCCCACTCGCCTCTTCCTTAACTCTCCCCAACTCTACTTCACCCCGGATTCCTGAGCCCTCTGGTTACTCAGTCCTCCCGGTTCTTCCCATGTGGCACAGAACGAATGCTTGTCCTTGTCCTGTAGTAAGACCGGCCCTGAACACAAGTGGATCTGGCAGCTTCCCCAACCCAAGAGTGACCACACACTGCTCAGCTGTAACTGGAGCTCCAAATCCCCTGGGCAGCGAGACCTGGGCCCTGGGCACCTGGCTGGCATAGACAAGGTGGGTGAAGACAGAAAGTGGACTCGACCTGACCTTGCCTTCTGCTGTGGGCCCACTCCCTCAGGGCTCGGAATCTGGGTTTCCCCGTTGGCCGGACACCTCGCCACCCTGCCTTCTGTCTCACCTGAGGCCACCCGTCCTCTCTTCCTCCCCCGTCCCCTCTACCTCCCCTCCAGTTCACTCTAACTTACATGCCCCTGCAGGAGCCCTGACAGCCCAGTCCCTATACCTCAGAGGGTGGTCTGGTCCCATGCCCCTCTCCCGTCCCCCTCCAACCTCCCGACTCCTGGCACTGGTCACCGCTGCTGGCTGCCTGAAAGGCTGGACAGCTGCTGGGCTCTCTAATTAGCTGCCTGGCCGCCGTCCCAGGGCGAGGCATGTGTTACTGTAAAGAGCTGCCTCCCTCCCCTTCATCAATAACCCCCCGTGCAGCTCCCATCAGGTGGCCGCTGAAGGGCCCTAGCAATCCTTGTCACA